AATCATTGGCACAGCGAAAGGCATAGATGCTTTTTTTCCATTCAACCATTGCTCCAGTGCCGTCCCACAAGAATTGCAGCATATATGTGGTGCCCAGCTCTTGTCCTGGTCTCCTATCTTGCATCCAAAATACAAGTTGTAGGCTTTCTTAATCATTCCTGTTATCCTCCTTTTTTGTGAGATAAAAGTTATTTCACTGCAGATATAGCAGAAATTATCTGCTTCATTCACACAAGTTCGAGGCATTACTGAGTAGCCTATATAAGCATAAAACGAAATGTAAAGACGCTGTCCAACTACAATCAGCTACAGATACTGCAGCTTTTATGCAGTGAAGTGATGCAATTAAAGGCTAATATTGCATCATCTCAGTATACATGCAATTTTCTATTGGTCACCAGTATCAATTGCGCAATATGCAGCTGAAGTTGCATCATAATTTTGAATGGTTTACATCATTAGATGGGTGAATATATCATGGAAACTAGAGCCAATCAACATTTTTTAGGGTCATTTTTGTTTTCAGCACCCCAGAATTATGTAAGATTAGCTAATTTTATGCCCAAAACTTTTTACTTGTTGAACAGTGTTATCCATTTGTAGAAGCCATCCTCTCTTTAACTTCAGCTTTTTCACAGATGGCATCAAGTTACCATCCAAAATTTGCTGAAATTTTATTGAATCCATTTTTCCTTCTACTCGTGAGATGTTCCCTGTGCCACTGGCTGCAACACAACCCCAAAGCATGATTGATCCAACCCCATACTTAACAGTTGGACAGAGGTTCTTTTCATTAAATTCTGTGCCCCTTCTTCTCCAAACGTACCTTTGCTCATTCCGGCCAAAAAGTTCAATTTTAACCTCATCAGTCCACAGAACTTGTTTCCAAAATGCATCAGGCTTGTCTATATGTTCATTTGCAAAGTTCAAACGATGATTTTTGTGGTGAGGACGTAGAAGAGGTTTTCTTCTGATGACTCTTCCATGAAGACCATATTTGTACAAGTATCTCTTTATAGTGGAATAGTGTACCACAACTCCAGTGTCTGCCAGATCTTTCTGGAGGGATCGTGCAGTCAAACATGTGGTTTTGAATTGTTTTTCTCACAATCCTGCGAGCTGTTCTGTCTGATATTTTTCTTGGTCTTCCAGATCTTGCTTCAACTTCCACTGTTCCTGATGACTGCCATTTCTTAATTACATTCCGAACAGAGGATATTGACATCTGAAAACGCTTTGCTATCTTCTTATAGCCTTCCCCAACTTTGTGAGCGTCAACTATTTTCAGTTTCAGTTTTCTAGACAACTGCTTAGAAGAACCCATGGTGCTGATTGTTGGGGCAAGGTCAGATGAGTCTGGGCATTTAAAACCTTGGAGATTGACATCATCTGGTCTTCCCAGACGATGATTGAGAACAATCCATGACACTGGCAGGTCTCAGCTTTGCAAAGGGGGCAGTGCATGCTATAAATTCTGCAGGGTGCCCAAACTTTTGCAGACGCCATTTTTTTGTTTTCTGTTATTTTGAAAGTGTAAATGATGGAAATAAAATCTAACTTTTGTTGACATATTATAAGAATGTCTAATCTGTAATTTGGATTTTTCCATCTTTCCTTGGCTTCTTTATGCACATTAATACAAATTTTTATCTGGGGTGCCCAAACTTTCGATCCCCACTGTACATACACATACTAGGGACAATTTACACAGGATCCAATTCACCTACCAGCATGTCTTTGGAGTGTGGAAGGAAACCGGGAGTACTCAGAGGAAACCCACGCAGGCACAGGGAGAACATGCAAACTCCAGGCAGGTGGTGCCGTGGTTGGGATTCGAACCAGCGACCCTAGTATTACCAACAGAGGGCGCACGGGCCTAGTGCTCCACTGGTGGGGCAGCTTAGTATCCACCCCTTAGAAATAAGCTCATTTAAGAGAGGACACAGGTTGTGTAGGTATTGGCTCTGAGGAAGAGGCGTAGCCTCGAAACACGTCAGTCATTTGGAGGTCTATAGTCCCCTACAAAACACCTTCCAGGGAAATTGGACCATGCTGTATTTCTTATGATGTGCCTTTGATTTTTATCCCTTCGTGAGTATATCTCTTTTTATACAATAAACCATTTTTTTTTTTTTTTACAAACAATTTTATTTTTCAAGAAATAAACTATAAAATGACATTACAGCTTCAAACGGTGTGTAAAAACAGTAACAATTGAAGTGTACATTTCAAAAAGGCACAATCATATAGAGTAAAAAAAAAAAAGTAAAGAGAGAGAATAGAGTTTAACCGGTTCCCACCCGGCCAATAGCACAAAAGCCCAGACGCCAGGAGGCTGCACATTTGCGTGCGGCCGGCGCCAAGAGGTTAAAGGCCCCTTTCACACGGGTGTTCCATTTTTTTCATCAGTTCAGTCACGTTTTTTCCAAGAAAAAATGAATCAGTTGACATTAGTTTACGTCAGTTTTTCATCAGTTTATATCCATTTTTTGATCCGTTTTTGTCTGTTTACATCCATTTTTCATCCGTTTACATCCATTTTTGTCTGTTTTATATCTGTTTTTCATCCGTTCCGTTTTTTTTTTTAACAGAAGAAAAATAGGGCTTTCTTCTGTTCCAAAAACGGGTGTTAACGGATGCAGACATTAACGGATGTAAACAGATGATCATCAGTTTACAACCACTAGTCCATAGAAATACATGGGTGTCTGTTTTTCATCCGTAAACGGACAGATGAAAAATGTATATGCAGAACGCCCGGGTGAAAGGGGCCAAAATCTCCTATACACTCCAGCCATGTGCAATCTGTGACCTAACCGTGGCTGGATCATCGCATTTCATCCCAGAGCTAGCGTGAGTTTGACTCTCTCACCCCCGGTTCACATCTCTGCGGCCGTGCGGGCCGCGTTTTGCAAGGACACGAGAGCCCATTCATTTGAATGAACTCCCGTGCCCCGGGACACGCAGGGGGCATACCCCCTATGAATACGTGCTATTGCACGAAACGCGTCAGAGAGGAGATACAGCATCAATATGTCACTCCGCCGGCACCACGTGGGTCCCGGCGGACATCTTGAAAAACTACAACTGGTCAGTGTGATTTATTTTACTCCTGTTTGGTTGGAATAAATACCCTCTTTTAAACGATATCACGCTATAAAATAATATAACAGTAATAAATATAAAGTGACTGATGTGAGTAAATAATTAAAAAAGATATAAGAATTAATTAAATTGATACAATGATGTCTTATTGTCAAATCACTATTTGTGCCATCCTTATATGAATGTGCAACTATTCCATCTATAAACCACAAAAAAAATATATGCTAGAACTAAAAATAAAAAATAATAAATAAAAATAAAAAAACTGCTGAAAAGGAAACAGCAGTACTGTCCCAAATGTGTCCAGCAAAGATGGATATGCTCTCCTTCAGCATGTAGATCAGGTCTTTGCAATAATGTTGGAAACCTGTGTGATTGCAGGGCTGTGAGGGATACTCCCTCCTCTGATCCACTCCTCAATCCTCTGCCTTTATGCTCCTCGTGTGTCTCATGTAAAAGAGAAATAAAGAATATGGTGTCTTATCCCAGGGGTAAAAACAGCTTTTAATGTGCTTCCATAACGCACTCACATGTCATGTAATACAATAGCGCTTTTAGATCTGTCAAAAATCTGCAGCTTGCAGCTAGAACATAGCGGTGGGTGTGTGTCCACACACCTTCAGTACTCGCCGTATAGTAGATAGGATGCGCGGTGACGTCACTGCCCCTCCCCAACGCGTTGCGCTACAGGGATTTCGTTGCTTCGTCCGGGGGATGATGTGTCCATTAGAACTAATTCCACCCGCCCGCGGGTCCGCAATTCTCAGTGCGGCTGCACGGATTTACGTGTGGTTCCGCAGTGGCACCACCCGCACAGATGTGAACCTAGGGTCAAAGTCATTCTCATTTGCACGGTTGCAAAGGGTGCAAGATTGCCGGTTAAATACAGGGAATAGTCTACAGGTTAGTGAGCAGGCGACTGGTTCTCCTTTAATATAGGTGGGAGCGGCGGACTGCAATCATTTGTTTTGTTGGTTTAATAACATAACGGTGGATCACCTTACGTATTGCCCAGGCAGCCATAAAATAAACCATGCAAACAGCAATTCTTTTCTGCTTACAGTAACATTCCACTTAATTGACTGACGCAGACAGTGCTCCATGAGCCAGCCCGCGCACATACGCTGGTAGGGGATACATTTTTGGTGGTCTGTAGGTTTTTTTCTTTTATAATTGCTTCCACCTGAAGAACTGAAAATAAAAAAAAAAAACTACAGGAAGTCTTTCAAATAATGCTGTGCATAATTGCCAGTAATGAAGTGTACAGCTCACAAAATCGAATCTTACTTGACCACAAGGAAGCCATCCTGAGCGTGAATGGGGAACGGATACACTAGGTTTCCCGTGCCATTCCTTCAGTCTCCAGTTCCTGCATTCACAAGGGACCGTCGTTCAATTAACTCGCGTTTGCGTCCGTACCCTCGGAAAAAAACAAATATATTGAAATTTTGGCTTTTTCCAAAGGTTTTTCCTTCCAAGAATGTATTTTGTTTGGCCATCCGAAAGAATCTTGAAACAGGTTGTTTAATACGTTGCGGGTGGTCTGGAGTATGGCGAGTCGTAGTGCAGATTTCTATTAAAGCTTCGTACATTCGTGTAAATTTATAGAGTTTTTAACAAGAACCTGTAGACCTTTTTACAGATATTATATCAGCACAAGCTATATTCTCCACGGGTTCATTTGAAATCTTGAATGGATGTTCAACATTCTCCGTGTCTGCGCCTTATTCTGTGTTTTTGTCTGTGTACTTATCCGATTCCCACCCGCAATCTGTACATTCACATTCATCAGTTTGATGTCCCATGGAGGGGGAGCTATGAGACTGTATCACTTGACAGCTCCCTAGCTTTACTAACAACCAGGAACCAGTCAGCATGGTTCTTGATTAGCTATGCTAGTGGGCCCATGGACCAGATGTGGCCATTTGGTTGTCTTTATCCACCCCTTGAGGCTCTATTCCTCCTACTGATGCAATGCATTATTCCTTCACTGACACCAATGATGAGGCACCATTCATTCCACTGACACCAACAATAGGCCACTATTTATCCCACTGACCTGAATAATGGGGCACTATTCCTCCCACTGACACCAAAGATGGGGCACACTGTTCCTTCCACTGACACCAATGATGGGGCACTATTCCTCCCACTGACAACAATAATGTGGCCCTCTTACTCCCACAAACACCAGCCATGGGGCACGATTCCTCCCACTGACAGAAATGATGGGGCATTATTCCTTCTACTGATACCAATGATGGGGCATTATTCCTCCCACTGACAACAATAATGTGGCCCTCTTACTCCCACTAACACCAGCCATGGGGCACGATTCCTCCCACTGACAGAAATGATGGGGCATTATTCCTCCCACTGACACCAATGATGGGGCACTATTCCTCCCACTGATACCAATGATGGGGCACCATTCCTCGCACTGACACCAATGATGGGGAACTATTCCTCCCACTGACAACAATAATGTGGCCCTCTTACTCCCACTAACACCAGCCATGGGGCACGATTCCTCCCACTGACAGAGATGATGGGGCATTATTCCTCCCACTAACACCAATGATGGGGCACTGTTCCTCCTATTTGCTTTTCCCCATCATGAGATGTTTCTTGTGTGAGACACCTTTTTATAGGCCATCAGTTGAGACTGAACCAGCTGATGCGTTGATAAGGGCAGGATTGCTTTCTAATTACTGATTGATTTCAGCTGGTGTCTTGGCTTTTCATTCCTTTTTGCACCTTTCTTCATGTGTTCAATACTTTTTCCCTGTGTCATTCAATTTTATTATGCATAACTTAATTTCTGAACCGGGTGGCACAGTGGCTTAGTGGTTAGCACGTCTGCCATGCAGTAAATGGGTCATTGGTTCAATTCCTGACCATGATGCCTCCTGCATGGAGTTTGCATGTTCTCCCTGTGTTCGTGTGGGTATTCTTCGGGTACTCCGGTTTCCTCCCACACTCCAAAGACATGCTGGTAGGTTAGTTGGCTCCTGTCTAACTTGTCCTAGTTTCATCCCTGGCCATGCAGGATCTCCTGCATGGTGGGGTTTGGGAAAGACCTAGCAACCTACCCTGTAAAATAATTGCTAAGAAAATTCATGGAAAAAAATGCTTACGAGTGACAGTCCATGCAATCGCCAAGGGTCGGATACAACTGAATGGATAGATAGAATTTCTGGAGAACTTCTTTGCTTTTGTTTCTTTGTATGTATGGATTGCATGGGTCCAGAGGCGTCCCTAGGGTTGGTGTCGCCCGGTGCGGTAACACTTGGTGACACCCCCTCCGACGATCCCCGCAGAATGGATCGGATCTGCGGATTGAGCATAATGGATTGGACTCCAATCAGTTATGGTCAATCCGCAGATCCGATCCATCCTGCGGGGATTGTCAGCTTTCTTTACAACTTACCTTTTCTTGGAGCGGGTCCGGTGTCACCCCATATAGGTTGCATGCTGATGATCCCTGCAGGATGGATCGGATCCATCCTGCGGGGATATTCGGCTTGCTTTACAACATACCTTTTCGTGGAGCGGGTCCGGTGTCACCCTGTGCGGTCGGTGTCACGTGGTGCGGACCACACCTGCCTCGGGACGCCATTGCACGGGTCGTTACTGACGTGGTGATATTTTCATGTCAATAGCACTTTTAGAAATATATTTACAGAGAAAATTGATGACGCATTCAATACTTATTTTACCCGCTGTATTTTTTTTTTACAAAAAACAGCTTTAAAACACGCCTACACTGACCTCTGTTGCTGCAGGCACTGAGGAGTTAGTCGTAAAAGTTTCCAGCAGGAAGTACTTGCACTTTTATTTCGGCAGCATGGCTACCTCTTATTTCCTTGCCAGCCTATCAGCCTTCAAATCTTTATTGCTCCCTGAGCATTGCTGGTGATTGGAGTGCAGGGGGAATGTCGGACTGTTTGAGAGCAGCGTTATTGGCTCTCCAGTGTATTACTGACACAGGGCAGCTTCTATTCTAATCAAACACAGCTAAATGACAACCATACCCTGGTGTTGATGTTGTCTTTTAGGTCATGCCCCGACCTCCCTGAATGCATCCCTGCTGGGGAAATTCTTACCTTTGTCCTCGATCTTCACTGGCCTTGCTTCACAATGTATCCCCATTGGGTCCTCTTCGTCCTGCACATGTGCACTGCATTACAGTTCATTGCTAAGGGGAGAGCCATACTCTGCAGGACCACTAGAAGCCACTTTGAGTATATCTTCCTTTAGATGAATAGGACCACAAAACAGCAGGACAAAGTGGACCCAGTCACGACGCTTTCTGAAGCAAGGCTGTGAATGGGGCTCCATATTGTTGGTAAGTATTATACTTACCTTTTCCGGATGTCTTCAGGCCGGTCGCCTGACTCAATGGGATGCAACTGTCTTCTAGACAGTTATATGACAAGCAGCGCGGCAGCGGCTATGGGAACCTGTTACATTATGTATATAATAATAAACGAGAGAGCGCTAATCCAAAAAAGCAGCTAAGCACTCTAAGCAACCAAAAAATACTTAAACAGAGTAATATCAACAAAAGTGCAGCGCTAGATAATAAAGTCTGAAAGAAAGTCCACTATAGTCTATTCATAAAAACGTGCCAGATGACAAGTACAGAATCAATGGTGGCGGTCCGTGAAGGAAAGCAGAAATGCGCACTCACCAGAAGACAGATGTAAGTAAGCGGTATGCATCAAAGCCCATAGATCCTCAATCAAGGAGAGAACTGGTCCGGTCAAAGTGGGTTGATCTTCCCTTAAGGATGCAGTGCTAATCCAAAGCAGATCCAGGTAGCCAGATGTCTCCTACAGCTGGATGGACGGGAGGGGTCTCCTGCTTAAAGGGGGGGGTCTTCCTCCTCTTGGTAAAGGCCTGAATTCTCAGTAAAGGACTCTGCAAAAAGGTACTCCTCTCAGGGAGTCAGGGAAGGACGCCCATAGTGTAGTATTCATAGAAACAATTATTTTATTAAGGACAATAGTAACAACTTGTGTCATCCAGGTGTAAAGGTTGAACTAACCCTAGAAGATGAAATAATGGCTGCCGGGCCTCCACGTGGCTCCGGCGGCATAGTGTCTTGATGTCCAGGCTCCTCCTTATGCGTTACGTGCGCACGCACATCATCAGAGGTATGGAACCTTTACCAAGAGGAGGAGGACCCCCCCCCCCCCTTTAAGCAGGAGACCCCTCCTGTCCATCCAGCTGTAGGAGACCTCTGGCTACCTGGATCTGCTTTGGATTAGCACTGCATCCTTAAGGGAAGATCAACCCACTTTGACCGGACCAGTTCTCTCCTTGATTGAGGATCTATGGGCTTTGATGCATACCACTTACTTACATCTGTCTTCTGGTGAGTGCGCATTTCTGCTTTTCTTCATGGACCGCCTTCGTTGATTTTCTACTTGTCATCTGGCACGTTTTTATGAATAGACTATAGTGGAACCTGTTACATGTTCCACCCTAAGGCTAGATTCACACCTATGCAGTTTGCGCTTGATCCGTTTTTGCCATGTTTTGCTTTTTATTTCATTCCATTTTTTTATTTGTTGTTAGGCCAATTTAAAACGCAAAAAGCAGCAAAAACACAGCCCAAACGCACTACATGCTTTTCTACAGCATTTCCATTGAAGTCTATAGAACCAAAAACACAACTGTGTTCAAAAAAGTCCCTGACCCTTTCCAAAAAACCGGGTGGAAATGCAGAGATGTGAACGTGTCCCACTAGGAAATCTTGTTAAATGGACTGCTGTTCTTTTCTGCAAAATGCAAAACACTGCAGAAAACGCATAGGTGTGAACTTAGGCTGGCCATACACTATACAATTTTCTGTTCAATTTCTGCACAATTTCCTTTAGATTTACCTTCAACTATGTAGCGCAAGGGCCCGCCTAATTGGATGCAATTGAAAGTGTTGTTTAGGTATGACCTCATATTATATGGTTTTTGGTAAATCTAAAGCAAAATTGTATAATGTATGGCCAGCCTTAGGGTAAAAACGGGTATAACATGTAACATGTTCCCAAAGGTTAGCTTATCCTTTAACCTCCCTGGAGGTATTCCCGAGTGTAGCTCGGGGTAAAGTTTCAGCACCACAAGCGGTAACACCGAGCTACACTTACCATGTGATGCTGCTTCGGGATCTCTTCTCTTACCTTGTCCTGCGCTCCCGCGATGTCCCCCCTGCAGTGTCCCCGGCCATCTCCTCCGGCCGATGACGGCATCCGTCTTCCGGGTTACGTTCCCTGTGAGATCGGGACGTACGGGGGACAGAATGGCGGGAAATGTAAAAATTTTAAAAGTGACATTCACTAAATACACTAAAATCACATAGTATAAACATTCCTGTATCAAACCATTTCACATACATTGTGTCCCGAGTGCTTTGTCCGGCGCCCTGCCTGCATTTGTACCGTTCTTTCTGCCTGGAAACTGAGAAAAGTCCATGGCGTCCAAAAAGCGTCCCTTTAGGTCAAAAGTGGTTTTAGACCGGCTAGAGAACAGCGATAGTAAATCAGAACCACTTGCAGAATTGAGTGATAATGATTCGTGGGGGAAATTCCTCATCAGACACTGAAAACGATTCTGCGACTTTGCTCAGCGATGTGCGAACTTGGCGCTATATTTCACATTTCAGTGTTTTTGGTTTGATTATATTATTGAATTAAATGTATTATTATTATTATATTATTATTTTTTATGATTATTTATTAAATTATAATTTATGATTTCGTGTTTCAAATTTTATCCTACCCGGGATGTTTACTAGACTCTTGTTCGGACAGATTTCACTGAGTTATTCCTAAATATTACAGGCCTACAATAAAAAAAAAACATATCCTCCTAAGCTCGAAAGAGCAGGGCCCTCGATCCCCTCATGTTTTGTATTGTATTGGTATTGTTCTGTCACATGTTCTGTCCCCCTTTGTAATGTACAGCGCTGAGCAAACTATTGGCGCTTTATAAATACTGTATAATAATAATAATAATATTTCCATCCAAAAAAAAAAAACGCTTTCAGCACAGAAATATGGACATAATCAGACCACTAGGGAGGTTAAAGGGATGAGGTGCAGCCCTAGTTCCACTTCATGCACAGATGTCTATGCAAGTCGCACCTGAAATCACTGAAAATAGTGCAGGAACTATTTTCAAAATCGGTGTGACTGATGGAGTTGGAGTCGCACCCATTTGAACATTTCCGTTGCTGACAATAGGGTGTGATTTTGTCATGCGATGTCGCATCGGTGTGAACCAGAGCTTATTGGCAAAGCTTAAGGCTTGGTTCACATCTGTGGTGGTGCCGCTGAGGATCCGCACAGCAATCCGTGCAGCCGCTCCACCCGCACAGAAGAATGCGGACCGCGGGCGGGTGCAGGGGCGGACTGACCATTTGGAAACTCGGGCACTGCCCAAGGGCCAGGGGTCAGT